CGAAAGGGGAGTGGAGTTTGCAGGAGAGACACTTAGTTCGCTTAATTGGTTCGTGACACTCCGAGACTCCTTGCCAAGTTCTGCAGAGATCGGCCTGGCAGCTCTCCTATCCAGATAAGGTCTGTGACCGTAAATCCTCCCTCGAAAGACTTTGCCGGATGTGAATGAGCAGAATTCACAGTCAATTAATAAAAGGGGTTTTTGTCGGAACAAGGAGTTTGATTCAGGCTCTCAGGAAGACTCGGTCAGAACAAGTGCCGTTATAACATTGAACGGCCGTAAGCAAACTGTTGTACGTCGAGGACTACCTGTTCCTTCCTCAGCGCAACTTAAGGGTGGGCTGTTAATTAAATGAGCATTTTGGGAGGGGTCACCCCGCCCCGCCCCCATCAGTCTTAAGTCCCTGCCTGACAGAACAAGAAAAGGAAAGGAGGGGAAGAGGGTATTATTAGCCATTTTGTCTTTCATTTCTTCACCTTCTTTCCTGTCTCTCTTCTAACTCCACCCAATGTATTCCTCGACTTACGACCGTTCATTCAGTGACCGTTCCGACGGCCCTCCGGGGGGAAAAAGTGACTTACGGGCTGTTTTTCATGCTTACGAACGGGGAACGCAACCTCCCCCAGGGTCAAAATCCGGACACTTGGCAACCAATTCGTATTTACGACGGTGGCGGTGCTCGCGGGATTCCCCTCTGGCGACCTTCCTTCCAGCAAAGTCAAGGGGGGGAAGCCGGATCCGCTTAACGACCGCGGTTCCTAACTTAACAACGGCAGAGATTCACTTAACAACGGGGGCAAGAGCGGTTGTAAAATGGAGCAAAGCTCACTGAACCAGTGTCCCCCCCCTTAGCCACACGAATCTGGGGCTGGATCGCGGTCGTAAGTCAAGGAGCAGCTGTAGGCCACACTTCCCCCTCTGCACCGTCTCCCATCTCTGTCTTGCTGTGAGACTGGCCTGCATCTCCTCCAACCCAGCCCGGGCAGGATTTGAACACAGGATCCTCCTACTCGCTTCAAGGGTCGGAAGATTCCAGTGAGGTCCCCCACGCTGTTGGGTAGCAGGTCCCCTTGTGGGCAGGTGCCCCCTTTGACCAGCAAGTCCTTCGCCCGAAACAGGGTGTGAGCTTCCGATGTGGGGTTGGCTGGAGGCTTCAGGTAGTAACTGCTGTTGCGATCCAGGACAATCAGCCCGCTGGTTGGAGAACAAAACAAAAATATGAGGATAGAGTAGAGTAGAGTAGAGTAGAGTAGAGTAGAGTAGAGTAGAGTAGAGTAGAGTAGAGTAGAGTAGAGTAGAGTAGAGTAGAGTAGAGT